ACTCAGCTTTCTTCCTCACACACGAGAAGCTGATTCAAAATTTGTGTATGAACTCAAAGATGTAATTGTGATCCCTGAAAACGATAAGGGCGGCGACGGTGGCGAGGCTCAGAACCTAGCCAGGGCACATCTCACCAAGTGTAGCGGCATTCAGGCTGGCATCATTGTTCGGACAACGTCGCCCTGGCTGCACTCCCAACTGCGAAACGCTCCACGCCCAGTAGCCCGCATGGACCGCCACTGTACATTCTGCGCCGACTGTATGGGCGGAGTCATCGGTATTCCCAGCTATTCCAATGGCGCGATCCCCCAATCTGCAAAACGAGACCGCCCACGAGATGAGCGCGAAGCAGATCCTCAAAATCATCAAAATGGATATATTAAAGGCCATTCAAACCATTGCGTAGGTAGACACAAGATCCTATTCGAGCATATGCTACTTAATTTCGAACTCAAGCCCTATAAGTAAAGCCTCCCAGCGAAAACAATAAGTGACCGCTTTTCTTTGCTTGGAAGTACCTGCCAGCAGCGTATGTCGTACCGTTGGGAAAAAAGCCTCCCTTTCAAATTATCCCCTCTGAAGGGATACTCCTCCCCAACCTGCGATACTCCTCCCCCATCCTGCATACCCTCTTTCTTACTTTGATTTGCGCACCTAAAAAAGGACGCGAGAATAATCAGCAAAAAAAGCTTTTTTCTTCTCCGGAGCAAATACGCCCCCCCCCCCTTGCTGGGGATCCCTAACGTGAGAAATGATAAGACCCTCAGTGGTAGTGATGTAACTGCTGCTACATAGATAATTCTTTCACAAAAAAGACCTACCAACATTGGCGATAGTAGAAGCTAGGTTAGCCTTTTTCTTTTGATCTTTAAGGTCTTTCTGGAAGTTATACAGAGACTCTTCGTTTGTTAGGGCCATATAGTACAAAACGTCCGTAGCCTTGATGATGTGCGTAACTCCAGGATTCAGGCGACACTTGGCATTTGGCTCGTCAGACTTCACTGCTATCAAGCCCACTCCATATCTGAAGATGAGTGAGTGCTGTTTATGTCTTCTAACAGTAATACAGTATAGTATTTGGATGCACCTGTCGTGAGCGCAATACGAGGCGTAAGTGAAAGATTTCCCGATGAAGCTTCCGAAAAATTTGGAATCTTCTGCTTTTATCATATACAGCTCATTGCCGGAATGGAATCCATAAACTTTATGCCAAGGCTCCGTTGAATTTTTTCCTTCACTGAAATCAACAATTATACGAATATTAATGGAAAATAGATGGAATTCAGAGTTGAAGTAGAAAAGCACATTAAATACCTAGATTCAATAAAGGACTCACTCTCCTTTTGATGTATGCATCAGAAGGGTAATGAACGTGGATATCCCAGGACAAATACAATTATTAGCTAGAAGTGCGTACTTGAATTCGTCTTCGCAAATGAGCACCTCTGAAAGGATAGGTTTTTTTCTGAAGAGGCATTTGACGGCAATTACTTTTGTCTCCATTTTGAACCACTTAGGTGCTGCAAAGGCTGTTGAAGACAGACTTTACACTCATCTTTGAGGATCATGTTTCTTGGGTGAGGTGAATGAGTCCGCAGCAATAGTGGTGGGTCACCTATTCAGTTCAAAAGTGCACGAGGAACGTGGCGGGAGTGTAGGGATACCCACGTGCAGTGTCCCGACCCCGCACGCGCTTGATCGGCTCAAAAAGTTCCGCGGCGGACACACGCAGAGGTATACGTGAGACTGCGCAGACGCTGCACGCGCTTGGCTATGGTGAGGCGACTGACTGGCTATGCGATAGCGTCAGTGGAACCGGGACATTCAGGAATTACTAACCTCCAGCTCCTGCACCCTGTAGTCTTGAGCGGAGAAAGTGGCACACTACCGCAGCTGCATTTGTCGCGCATACAGGGGGGGGGGGGGCAAAAAAAGTCACTTTCCTTCATTGGCTTTGGAGGCGCTATAAGTTACACCTTATTAATTGTGATCGGACATTTCCACCTAACGAGCTATATTGAACACTAGTCAATCGCACAGCCTTCTGGACGAGCGCCATCGAGGGATTCTGGCACGCGATTCCGCGTAGGCGAGAGTTTCTCCAACGCCCTTCGATTCCATGTGGTGGCACCCAATGCTGTAGCAGTACAAAGTTTCCAAGAAGGTACGGGCGACGACATGTGGGGAGGATATTCTTCTCGAGTTGCTCGATGTAACCGCCAGCGCTCACCTTCAGCCAGGGTCCACGAAAAAATATTGGTCTTTCCATTCCAGGTACGTTCTGTCCCCATCATCAATCCGCGCCTTGGCGACTGCGGTGAAGATGATGTCCCAGGCCGTGCGAACGTTGACGGGGCCGCTCGATGTTGGAGATCTTCCAGATCAAGAGTACTGCTCTCCAGGTAAGCTGTCCATGGAGACTCCCCGTACAAAGAACTTTCGCGTCCTGTTTGGAGTTAGAGTGATTCCAAAAGGTCTTTCTCCAGTCAAACTGCTACTGAGATGTCTTTCATATTTTGTGTTTACATGAAGCGTGAATGGCAAGAGCCAGCTCGGCTTTATTGAGGAACCTCCTGGTACCTTGTGGCTGCGTACCACGTGCTTCCTGTGTGGGCTGCGAAAAACTTATGCTGATATGTGACTCGAATCAGAGTGACTTTTTTTGGGCACGCCCCCCCCCCTCTGTAATCGGCAAGGACCAAAAATTTACGAGGGCGAACTGTGCACTTTCTCTCCCTGACCTTTAAGTGGCTAAGTCTGTCCAGTCTAGAGCTTCTGGCGCATGAACCGCAATGCCAACTGACAAACGAGTATAGCCCGAATTCAATTCTTAAACTGTGAACAGATCGGAAGTCCTGCTTACCTGCATGCTCCAAATGCATCTTAGTTTCTGGTCTAAAAAATCTCACTACTGCTTTGACGTGAGGAGGCAAAAATCTTTGACTGGCCCATGAGCGTACGAATAGGAGTGTGCCATCCCCCCTTGGGGAAAATTAACACTAATTTGAGAACATTTTGACATGGGAAAAGTGAAGCCGTTTTAAGCCGATACTGTTGAAATTTTTTCTTATCCTGATGGCGAGCAGAAAGAATGAAGCAAGCTTGCGCATCTCCAAGGCGGGCTCTGAAACTTATCACCTTATTTTACAGAAAATAGAGAATTTGTTGAAAATAGAGAACTTGTGCCTGAATAAGAACTGTCAAGGCTACCTTTCAAGATTTTCGTCACGAAAGAACATTGGTTCCTCTCACTGTAGTGAACACGTTCGACTGTAACAAGCGAAATTTCAGTAGTAGGCGAGTTGGATCATCTAATTCGGCGGGTGAAAGAAGGACCACATGCACTCGCTGGAATACGGCTGGCGATTTGAAGGCAATTATTTAGTAGAGGATATCTTGATTAGCTGTGCGATGTAAATATGCCTAGTAGATGCCTAGTAGGAATGATACATGGTCCCAGCGTTTAATATGGCATCGTTTTACTGGAATGGCGCGCCTGCACCCAAGAGCGACTCGTAACCAGAAAACTAAGCCGTCTTCAATGCTCCTCCCCTAGAGCCGTCCGCCTGCAAACGGCAGCACCCACCAAGAATTAATGGGAACATATCGGATGTTCCCACTTCTTCTACTGTTGACGTAGCAGTTTTTTCTTTCCCACGCAGGGTCAATTCTTAGGAAAATACAGTCCGTTGTTACCCATTACATGGTTGGGGTAAGCACCCATGTATCCCACTACCCTCTTTTTTGAATACGAAATCACAGACCCCTCTGTCTCGAAGTTGTGAGATCAAACTCAGCAGTCGCTTTTGTTCTGGCGTATAGAATGTGTGGGCCGCCGATGTTCGAGGCCCTGTTCTCTACCACTCAGACAAAGCTGGTGTCAGTAGGATCTGTCTGCATTTTATATGGGAGTCATTGCGCCTCTTAGTAAGCCAAGTTTTTCCACTATCCAGGAATATGAATGATTTGGCCGACCCCCTCTGCCTTGGTGGCATGGAACAAGATTACTGCTTTGATTAACGCTTTTCAGGAGCTTTCGGTTCCATTTAGCACTACGTGGCATACGGGACCAGTAGCAGGAGAGTCATGCGTTAACTTTCAGGAGACAACCTATGCCCAAGTCAGTGATTTCATTCTCTACTGGATGAAATTGGTGTAAGTGTGCACCCAGAAACAAATGGAAAGGCTTGATACTTAGGCGAGGTTCCGGTGTAGGATTTTCTAAACCGCGCAAGGTCGCTGGTGGCCACCTTCTCCCTTAGCCACTTCCAGCGCTTCATTCTTCGAGTAAATTCACACACTCACTTTGTTCTCCATGAGTGGCGTAGAATTCGTCCAGAAATCCCTGACAAGTGCCATTTCCAAATGCGTTATCGTAACAACAACGTGTTTTTCATTTTTAGCAAATCCGCCACTGTAGTCACTTCCACATTTCTGCCTTGCAATCCACGTTTGTCCCAATGCTTCAATCTGCAACGAAGATGGGTTATCAGAGGCTTGATCCTCTCGTCCAAGTTTGCAGTACCTGTGAGGGAAGCAAGACCAATGCTACGCAAAATGAGGATGATGACGCAGAGTCGTGACATCCAAAGTGTCTGGATTCCTACAAATACGGCAAGACCAGCAGTAATACTCACAATTATGAAGGGGTAGATGTAAGGCACCAAACATTGAATGTGATCAAATTCTAGCAACGACAAGTTTGGAAACAGTTGTTATCCTGCTACTGGTTGCCGATTTTGGCCCAACCCACTGAACTGGACGAAAGGGAATGGCAGTTCATATCGAAGACATAGAAGGGGGTCATAGCTGTTTCATGCCATGAACGCTGCACAAAGTTGTGAGAACAGCAGAGATACACTGCTGCCGACGGAGGTTGTACGAAATATGGACAGTGTGTGCATAAAGAGACATGGACGGCACAATAAATAATCATCTCTAACCATTATGTCTACCGCCACGGCACCCTGAAGCGAGTCCGGTTACACGCCCTCTCCACTGTCGGATACGCAATGAGGTCACTTTCGAGGACATAGAACATACGCCACGATAATTGGAACAGGTCTCAAATGCTAGCAGGGGTGCTTTATAGTGGAAAATGGCGAAAAAGCGAAATAAAACGGTCAAACTCCTGCGAAAAAGCCTTTGCTCTACCCGACTCGCAGAGCAATTTCGGACGAGCTTCCCGCTGATATCGTGCCAATAAACCTACGTCCTGCATGTATCGTGCCAATAACCGCTACGTCTGCATGTATGTACTCATATATCCATGCAGCACGGCAGCAGCTTCATATCAATCCCCTAGATTCATACTGCACTTTGCAAATGAAGCGATACGAGCATCAGGATCGGTCGGACATCTTGTGGACGGGCGAGCGCGGTGGCGTCCGGGTAGGCATGTTGCAGCTTGATAGGGTGCTGCGGGGGTACATCCCTTGTGAAAGGCGCCAAGGAGCATCTGCTCAAAGGCGCCAAAATGTGTCCCACCAGGCGTGCTGATCCTACACGCCTTGGGTATTTACTGTTTTCTCTTCACTTTTCCACGTTCCGAGTTTCTAGGGAATGAGCTGCGTGAGGGTAACTGCAAACAGTTTGTAGCACTCACCAGTCTCCATAGCCAACAGTAGAGAATGTGACCATTACAAAGTAGAAACTGGTGAAGAGGTCAAACTGTCGTTCACCTGCTCGCTGTAGATGCTCTATGCTACACATACCTGAAAAATGAAGTATATAAGCGATCGGAAGTTTCTCAAACTACACAGACTCCCCACCAGTAAATATTAAGCAAATTAGAGTGGAGAATAAAATAAGAAGATGTCTGAACAGCGCGGAGTGCTTGACCAGGGATCCACGGTTGAGATCGTTCTGAAATAAAACATCAAATGCCCCGTTTCATGAGCAAAATGGAAATTTCGGTATACCATCATTGAATGAAGGGATCCTTTAGCAAGCCAGCAGTTCAAAAAGACGGGAACATACATTATGCGAAGATCTTTGTAGAAAATCTGAAAAAATTCTAAAGTGAAAAAACAAGGCGAGTGATTTTAGGCTTTTCAAGACACAACATCGCAGATGACCAAAAGAATGGGTGGAGATCCATGATAATTGAACTTTTCCTTTGATGTGATTCAAATCAAAAACGGTAGGGAGGATTGGCGCGACGATGAAAAATTAACAATGGGTATGGGTCCCTGTTTATTTTTCCTACCATTCGATTATCGCAGAATATTTCTTGAAAAACGAGGGAAGCTGGTATTATGGGTTAAGTCCTATATCTTCATGATAAGATGCGATTGGTAGACTCAGATACAAAACTGTAGCTGTCCGAAGAAAGCTGTAACGTCGGCCCGTAAAATAAAAAAAAGATAAAAAAAAAAGTAATTAAGAAACCTCACCCCTCAGTTGACTTTGCACGAGCGCACCTCGAGGAAACACTGGGCGTGTGGACGGGACACCAGACGACGACGAGAGCAGTGAGGCGTGTATGACAAAACCGTCAGGCATTCAGCGCATCGGGTATTATCAGCAGACCTGCGCCCCTAGATATGCCGTACGCTCTCGTCTCTTTCTTGGGACGCGCAAATTTCAGGGACCATCCCACGGTGGTCCTACCGCGCGAAATCGAGCTCTTACCATTGTGCCCCTCTTTTTCTGCCCATCTTCTCCTACAAGGCAAAGAGGACGAAGTTCGCAAAGATGGGCTCTGCTGCATTGATACGGTCTGACAAATTATCGTATCAACTCGAATAATTCTGTCAAATCCTTCTTTTTGTTTTCTGCTCTATGACCTTATTATTTTACTTCGTTTGTTTGTTTTGTGAGGCTGAACTCAATTCCGCGCCTTATTCAGTAGCGTTCCGATCTACAGAAAGTGCACAAAATCACAAAAAAGTGGGGAAAATATTGCTCACCGTAATTATGAACGGGAAGCTGGTGACGAGTTCGAGAAGGAAGTGAGCATTGAGAAACAAACGGTAGATGTTCCACTGAAAACGGTGATGGTAATGCCATACGCAGTGATGCTAGTCAAAAACCTCTGCATCATGGACTCTCATTATCAAAAAGCTGTTTTTTTTTTCTCAAGAATTCGTTCTATTCCGTTCCGTGAGGTCGTTAAAGGGTGCGGGCACATTAATATATTCATGATGCTGTTTTCCTGCGGGGGAGCGCAGTGGTCGAAGAATTCTTACAGCAGGTGAGATCAGATCACAACTTAATCGTCTAGGGTTCGCGTGATATGGAAGTTCTCTTATGGAAGTTGTAGTTTTCTTTGCCATTACGAGAACCTTGAAAATTTTAGATAGGGATGCCCACTTTTATATTACCGTACCCCAGTTTCTAATGTAGAAGGTGCGCTCTAAACACAGCAAACGATTCGCGCGAGAAGGTGGCGCTAAATGGCTCGTGTCGTCAAATTACAAATTTTGTTCAACTGCTTGTATGTTGTTTAAATAAGGATAAAGGGATAAAGTCTTCGCCGTTGATCAATCCCTTTGTGGGATGCGGCACGCATTCTACTTCCATTCAGAATCGTAGTGGGTTATTGAATGCGATGTGGCCTATACAATGACTTGCGGTGGCCAGCCGATGTACAAGTCAGTGTTTTATCCTCCCAGACGAATCTGGTACCAATTCACCGTCCCCGGAGGGTAGAAGGCTTGGTTGGCCTGGGCGGGAGTCGACCCGGGATTCGAACCCGGGACCGCGCGAATGGTGAGCGCCCCACTTGTCACTACACCATCTCCGCCATCATTCTGTTTGTAAATATTCTAAAAAAATATGAGACGTTCGATGGAGATATTGCATGGCGCTTCGGAGAGTTTGCGAGTTGTTCCTTCAGCGGACTGGAACGAACTCTTGGTGGACGGACGCAGTACGGAAAATTGTCACGCAATGAAACGCAAGCGGATACAACCTAGTTATGGTTAAAAAGATGACTGCATGAGAAGCTGTCTCCTTCACGACCCATTTTTTAGGACTTGGGCTAATTTTTATCGGATTCCCTGGAAACTGCTTTTGACTAAAGAAGGGGGGGGGAATGAGTGCTTTGATTCCCAATAGGAGAATCTTATTTTTTAACCCAAGACAATTGTAGCTTATGCGGACGCCTAGAAACAAAATGCACCACCCTCCTCCCCTCCCTCCCTCCCCCGTTCGTCTGCGCCGCTGGCAAATGCGAGTTAAGGAGCTGTAGGTTGAAAATCACCCCGAGCGCAACGCTCTAGCCAAACTGAGGCTTACCCCAAGCTCTGAAGAAAGGGATCGTGAATATTTATAATTGAATAATTAGCGTGGTTTGTAGTGAGACTCACCTCGTAACTAATGTAGAAAACGATTATGGTTTCAGTTAAACTAACAACAGCGACAAATGTTTGGACGAGCCATAAATATGTGTTCCTTCCCACCCAGAATAGATACTCACTGAAAACGTCAGGATAAGCCTCAGTGTAGATCAAACTATGAAAGAACTTACTATTTTATCTCGCCTTCTTTATAGTGATGTTCAGTTGGGAGTAACTTTGAGTCATGCACAACTCGTACGCAGTACAACACACACGAAAGGGTTTTGATGAATACGTTGAATAGTCGAACTCGGTAGCCTGAAGAACGAGCACGATCGGACAGAACT